CATCTTGGAGGATAAAGTATTGGGTTGGCACATAAGTACTTTCGTTTTTTTTCAACCGGAAATTTCGTTCCAAAGATGAAATGTTTTGCTAGCAAGCTTGATATCATCTGATAGGAAACTTCACGTAGTTTCAGAATATCAAAACGGTTTTGGTTGAGGGAATAATTTTTGTAGATTTTTCAGTCGTTGAAGTTGAAAGCGAAGTTGGCGAAAATTAGCATATCCCCTTCGACAACTGCCTCTATTTACGTATAGTCGAAGTGCTAAAATCGCTTAAGCTGCTCCATACATTTGGAAAAGGTCGAGCTAGAAGTTCCAGCAAGGGAATCTCACTAGGACGCTTTGGAACGAATTTCAAGAATTTTGAAGTTACCAACCTTCACCTCGCCGATATTGGGCAGCTCACGTCTGTTCCACCTGAAATTTTATGCTAATATTTGAACGTTTCGCTGATATGTTTTGCATGTTCTGATAGCAAATTTCGTGCTCTATAACACTGCTATAGAAATCTGTTCTCCAGAGGTGTTTGCTTTCTGTTAAGTTCAGGTTATCATTACGGAACGCGAAGTCGTTGAGAACTAGCGTTCCCGTTCTCCACGAATTTTATGCTAACATTTGAATGTTTTGCTAATGTGTTCTATATTTTCTGATAGCCAATTTCGTGCTCTATAACACCGCGTTGTTATTTTGAAAATCCTTTAGGTGAACCTTGTTTTTCAGGTGGATAATATGGAATATGGTCAGGTCGATAAGCATCAGCACTTCAGACATCTCCTCGTTTTTCGCATTCAACAGAGGTATCAGTACCTTCTTGAAGCGTCTGAACCAATTTTGGGGCGTGTTTTGAGAGAGAGGGCAATCTTCTCCGTACACTTCGGTATTTCCCGAGCAGCATCAACAGCTCTGATACCTCTGTTGAATGCGAAAACGAGGAGATGTCTGAAGTGCTGATGCTTATCGACCTGACCATATTCCATATTATCCACCTGAAAAACAAGGTTCACCTAAAGGATTTTCAAAATAACAACGCGGTGTTATAGAGCACGAAATTGGCTATCAGAAAATATAGAACACATTAGCAAAACATTCAAATGTTAGCATAAAATTCGTGGAGAACGGGAACGCTAGTTCTCAACGACTTCGCGTTGCCGTAATTGATAACCTGAAACTTAACAGAAAACAACACGCTCTGAAAAAACAGTATTTTATTAGTAGTGTTTATAGAGCATGAAAATTTGCTATCAGAACATGCAAAACATATCAGCGAAACATTCAAATATTAGCATAAAATTTCAGGTGGAACAGACGTGAGCTGCCCAATATCGGCGAGGTGAAGGTTGGTAACTTCAAAATTCTTGAAATTCGTTCCAAAGCGTCCATAAGTGAGATTTCCGCTTGCTGAAACTTCTAGCTCGACCTTTTCCAAATGTATGGAGCAGCTTAAGCGATTTTAGCACCTTCGACTATACGTAAATAGAGGCAGTTGTCGAAGGTGCTAATTTTCGCCAACTTCGCTTTCAACTTCAACGACTGAAAAATCTACAAAAAAAAATTTTATTCCGCCGTCAACAAACGCGTTTTGATATTCTGAAAACAATACGTGAAGTTTCGGCTATCAGACGATATCAAGCTTGCCTAAAGCAAACATTTTTCATCTTTGGAAGCGAAAATTTCGGCGGTTGTGAAAAAACAACGAAAAGTACTTATGTGCGCAAGTCGCCAATACATTATCTCGTGACACAATGCCTTTAGACAGCCTTAATCACAGTACATGGAACTTCTTCTGCTCAGCTGAGCTGCCAACACTGGCTACGGCCTTAATTCTGGGCTCAATACATGGCAACAAGCAATTGGTTGTCACTGATGGTAGAAAAAAGCGGCAACGGCAAAGTCCTCCTTTTCCTGCACACTGTCTCTAATTCGCCAGGAAGGCCGATGTTTTTAGAGCATTTTTGAAGCCGGATCATTGATGACGCCAATAACGACAGTTTCGTCTTCTCACGCCGCATATCTCATTGGGGCGGTCAATTCATAGTGATTATACGCTCTCCTAATGAATGGAACCCGAAAACGAAGCAATCAATTAGGAGAAGCGTGTAAGTGATACAAAAGCAAGCAGATCGGAACTATAAGAAGTAATGGAAGAGTCATATTCGAGAAGAGGGGTTGATGCGAGCCGAATATAAGAAAAGCGAGTCAGAAAACGCGTCCATACTTTTCCGATGGAACGAGGATTCCCTGTGGAACGAAGGAATACTAGCGGTTCCTGCGTTTATGTCAGAAGTATTCCAGAGCGATGGTAGGCGGTCACTCAACACGCATAATTCAGTCCCTTGGGTAAGGGTAACGCCGTATGCATTCGCTGAAATTCTTGCTCTGTCGAGGGTGAATGCTTAGGGCGCCAGGGCCGCCATTGTTGTTAGCGGCCCCACCCATCAGTTTTCATTCCACCCAGAAGTGGGCATCTCCATCTGGATATCAAGCTCATGAAAAAGTTGCTGTCGGCCGTCCCCCTCGTCCTTCTGTCCTGTACTCCTTGGTCTTCTCGCCTGTGCTCTTTTCTTCACGAGCGCGTACAATGCACGGAGACAACTGCAAGAAAGGAGAGCCTTATGACATTCTCAATGATTGATCGCCAGATTCTCGTCTTCATTGTGATTTGATTAGAACATACACCTTCGTTTTGAGCCCCACTGCGCACGACTTGCAGGCGCGGAACGTGTCAGATCGAATTCCTGTCGAATTTCTGCAGTGCCCGCGACAAGAAGCGACAGCAGCTGGTCAAGATCAAAAAAAGTGCCGCGTTGAGTTCCATTAAGACGTGGATAATGGGAATTAGAGCCTATCCATAGAACAAATATCTTTTTCAAATTTTACATCCCACATTGCAAATCGCGATTTCCTCGTTTAATGTTTTGTCGCCGATGCGTTACCAAAGCAAACAAACTGGAAATCCGATTCTCCTCGCGGGATTTCACAAGCAAGTACAATCCTCTTGCAACACTTTGCATCTTGCAAATATAGCTCCTTGTCACCTTCGAGCGCTTGAGTGCTACACCACTCCACACTGCGGGGGGAATCGCTGGCTGTGTCATTTTAGCGAACTAATTTTGTTTCAACATCAGGATGTCGTACACAGGCCACGCCATCGTTGTGATAGTCACCGAGGGGGGGGGGAGGTGGGAATGGGGAAGGGAAGAAGGGGACACAATCAAGGCACTCTGGTCGTACAGTGCCTTTACTGTAGGGTACCAGGAAGACGAACAGAGGAATGTTCCTAGCGGGCACTTTATGCGCTGAGAGAAATCTTGTCAAAGTAGGATACTCCTCAGGGTTTCCTATCTGGTATGATCCCCTCTCATCATCCCATACTGTCTTCCATGGTTTGAAATTTTCCCAAATTCCTAGCACTTGATCGAAAATTTTCCCGGAATTTCGCTAGGAAAAACAGGAGAAAGCGAGAAAGTCAACAACCGAAGAAGGGCAAAAAAGGGCAAAGTTTAACAAGGGGGCAAATACGACGCCCTCCCTGGGAATAGCCAGCGTACGACGAGCCCTTTTGCCAAGATATTCCACAAGCAAGCTAGTTGCTTTTCACGGTCAGAAGCTAGTCCTCGTTACCACCGAGCTCAAGAAGGCCTATCATACTGAAGGCAGTTCGATTTTCACAGCTACGTCACAGGTCTGCAGTGCTGCAATAATCAAGTCAATGGCTTTGAACTGTGGTTTCGCCGTGCTTCTTTCTGCACGATAATGGGGGATATCATGAGCCCCATCCGTGCTACCAAAGCGCAAAATGACGCACGCTGACCTTTAATTAGAGCTGCGAGTTTATTGTTTGTAATTATGTGGACATGACGCAGCCAAAGTCTCTTTTGCATAGAGCTCTCACAGTCTTGAAACTTCATTGTCGGGTCATTGGGCCTTAACAGCAGTGGACGTTCAATATCCAAGTCAGAAACTGCTTCATTATGCCCTGAGATGTCGAGCGTAGCACGAGTATATGGCGCATTCAGACAGAACAATACATTAAAAAACAAGAAGGTCTTCGTCCGTTCATCAACGTTCAAATACATTTTGCTATCCATTTTGTTTATTCCAGTCAAAGCAAGCAGGTGTTTGCTGCATTTCGTGCATGCATGTATTCTCCCCCTCATCATGTTATTCCTCAAAGCCATTCGCTTTTCTTGTCATTGCAGCCTGCCACATGTGCTGTTCACTTTGACGAATGTTGTCTCCAATCCCACCTCTTTATGAGTTACTTTGAGTATTGACTCTTCCTGTCAACCACTTTTGCCAGCCAGAATCATTTTTTTGCAAAAATCAAAAATTGGGCTCTCTGTCCTACTGTGTACTACGGTCCCACACTAAAAATTTGCTCTGCGAAATTTCGACAAGGAGATAGATTTGACAAAGGTTCCGCCCTCAGAGTAATTTCACTCCCCAGGTATAAAAAAACGCGTCCCGTTGGCGGAATTAGGCCTGAAAAACTTTCGCTGGCCATCGGTCAGTTTCGCAATAAACCATACAAGCTACCCCATTCAAAAGTGCACTTACATCCAATTTACTTAGTAGTGCCAGCGATGTACAAGCGAGGGTATTTATCCTGAAGTCGAGTACGGTACCAGTTAATCGACTCCGGAGGGACAACAGGCTTGGTTGGCCCCTGGCGGACGTGCGGGGCCGGTTGCCACTGGACAATCAACTTGAAACCCTTTTGTAGTGCAGCCCCTCTCAACTATCTTGACCCATTATTTTCTCCTCCGAGCCTTTTTCTCCCTTGGCTTTTTGTTCTGATTGTTTCTCCACTAAATCATCTGTACGTGTTGTGAGACAGCGGTCGGGTTATTTTTTCTTCCAGAAAAAAACAGTGAAAAAAGTGTAGTTTCAGAAAAAATTGTCCGAAAAGCAGTTTTATCCCTTGAAACGTGATCGACTGGGATTTTCACTGAGCGCTATTATAATACCTTGAGACGAATAATTGCAGCGTTCAAAACGTTCGTTCAGTGTAATGACGGGTTAGTTTCGCCTGCACCACCGTGGTTTGGATCACCTGCGTAACAGCTGAGAATAACAACATTCGGTTTTCTGGGTCTATTTCCACGCTGACGAGGTCATTCAGTGGAGCGCACTGGACTTTATGAGGGCGGCAAAAAAATTTATGTTCCAGCTAACACAACACTGAAATTTCACTCTGCCGCGCACTTAGACAGGAATGTCTTCATGTTTCACTTCTTTTCATGAACTTTCTTACCATCAGGCTCATCAGCTCTTGCAACCTTTTGGTTGCTCAAGCTTAAGCTTGAGCTTTGGCAACAACAACTTTTATGGGCTCAAGCAACGGTGGATTAGAATGTTTAGCAAAATTCAATTATTACAGTCTCGCGATCTCATTACAAAGATTTTCTGCAGCAGGTTATTGGTATTCTTGTTCACACTCATTTTGGGCTCCAGGCCCTGGAGCTAAATTGGTATCTTCTCCAGCTTTTCGTCACCACCACTTCTACTGAATTTGCTATATGCTTCTAACAGAGGTAATTGGAGGCCTTGCATCCCAATATTCAATGTTGCAATTGGAAAGGTCGGAGAAGTTGGAAGGGGATAGAAGAGAGCGTAGGAGAAGCTTTGCTGTGGGTGGGGGGGTCACATTTTGCAAACATTTTCCCCGACGACAGCAGGTGCTCTGAACATTCGTGTAATACGTGACGCTCATTTAATCCTGCACGGACCACCCTGCACACTTTCATGTATTCCAGCCCGTCTTTCTGTTGTCCCATCCTTTTTTCTCTAGCCTCCAAATCAACCAAGCAACAGTTTCTCACTTTCTGAAATACTCGTCCAATTCTGTGGTCTTACTTAGGGAGTTTCCGACTATTTTTCCCATTTTTGCTTCACTGGCAAGTCGATTACCACCGAAAGCCCTTAGATAGTAATTGCTTGGTGTATAATTTGAAAGGATTACAAATTCGTAGCAAACGTGTGATATACCTTTCTATGGCCTCATTTGGAACTGTTTCAACTGTTTCATTCGCTATTCATTTTCCAGACCCTGTCATATTTCATATGCGTAGGCTGGTCTTGAACCCCGTGCTGGACGACAGAAAGACACCTCCTGCTGTTCTCAAGGCCTTACGTACCATGCCTTTGGAAGCTTATCTCTCAAGACAAATCTCGATTCGTGCGATGGGGTTTATAGGGTCGCTAGTCCTTGAAACATACCAGATTCCCTCAATTCAAAAGCGTTCACTGTCCAGAAAGGACTCTGTGGAGCTTTCCAAAAGCTCGTCTCTGAGCCTAAGGATTCTTAGTTGCCGGGTATTCCTACGATCTGCCAGTATTCCAAAATGCTTCCTCTCTCTGGCCTGTATAATTCTTGTCATTAGCTCTAGAACTAGCTACCTCAGTGAACTGTTGCCTTTCCTCCATAGCTACTATTTCTGGACTTATCTGAATAACAGCTAAGTTCGAACCGTCCGTTGTGAGACAACGCTGAGCTTTTTGCTCTGCTCTTCCATCTGCTCACCATATGCAAGTGGGTGTAAGCACACTGCAGTCTTCAATGTCCGAGAGTAGATCACATTTTTCTGGGCTCAAAGCAATGTGTCAATTGGTCGAATTGGTTCTAACCAGCAGTTACCAGTCGCACAGGCATGACTGCAGTTACGGGCTTGGCATTGTGATAAGTCATGTCTCTAAGGGAAAAACCGTGTGGTAGTTAGTCGTAGTAGCTCAGTTCGTCGTTTTTCTACAACTTTTATTGCCAGTGTTCAAGGACAGCCAAAGAACTTTTGATAGTTTCTCAGATTTGTTTTCTTTCGAATGTGCTGTTACTATTTTTCTGCTTTTTCCTCGTGAGGCAAAAACGCTCAACTGCTGAGTCGTCACCCTTGTGTGGCAGTTGTTTCGAATTCAGATGGTGCAGCGGGTTTCAGAAGGAGTGTAATATCGCGCGTCGCCCATTCTCGCCTTGTTTCTCTTCTTTCCAACATCAGCTTATTGAGGCTAGGGCAGTGAAGTTTATAGAAACGCTGCAGTTGATGGGCCGCGGCCTTGCCGGATGAATAAGTTAGTTTTCTTATCCTCTGAGCTAGACTCTGGTAGGCATTCAATCGCCTATGCAGCTCTTAATGAAAACTTGCAAGCGTGGTGTATCCCCACAAAACCGATGAAATCCTGGTCGCTCTGTATCTTGAATTCCACACTACTTCTGCGTGAGTGTCACTTCGGGCAAAGCCCCTGAAGGTGAGGAACAGTCATCTGAAGCGACTCCCGCTTGCAGCATTAGAAGTTCTGGCAAGGGGGTGTCTGGTTTGCCAATTCATGAAGGAGTAAGAGTATTCGGAGTGGGTGAACTAATCTGAAACGGTAACTCCAATCTGATGGCGTGACGGTAACCCATTTTTTGTGCAAGGACTTCTTCGAAGCCCCGCAGGGTTGTAAGGGTCCCAATTCCTTTTCTTCGCCTTCCACTGACGTTTTTTGAGTGGATAGAGAGTTTTTGAGTAGATGGAGGGGGGGAGACCTATACGTGCTTGATGATGACGCACCTCAAAGCAGGCTTTTTTCTGTCCTCATTTCTTCTTTTACCAGCAGAAATTCAACAGCTCTGGTCGTTTTTGCCTTTCCGTCTTATTTTTCTACCACGTGAAATCATTCTTGAGCTTTTAGCCGCTGCATGCTCGGAATATACCTTCCTTTTTTCGAAAGGCAGTGAGGAAGTTTCTCAGTTCCGAGCCCTATGAGATCCCGTGCTCGCTTTCCTCTGCTATACATGCATCTCTGCCTCTCTTCCGTCTAGACTCTCACAGTTGTCGTCGCGCGCGCATCTGCGTTGGGAACGCCTTTTTTCAAGTGTGTTATGGACGGTATTAGCTAAACATTAGGTTTTTAGCCGCAATTTGAGATGCGAAACTTCTCACACTATGAAAGCTCAGACTTGGGAAAACGTTTTCCTCCTGTCAGAAATCGGGCATGCCCTCAGAAAATTCTTGGCCACGGTTCTAAACTTTACACCTACATGGTCAGTGCATATTTTTTTCCCCCGGAAAAAACTGAATCTTCCAAAGAACTAGTCGCAATGATGATTCATCCATTTCACTATTGCCCTGGAACTGGCCTTTGGGGCTTTGATAAATTGTTTCGCAAACGTAACACATCGGGTGGCATGTAGCCGTCACTTGTTCGACGAAAAACCCGTCTGATAGTGTGAAGGGCCGTTTCGTCTCGAGAGGTCCTCTTGCTCGAGCCCATTGTCTCGAATAAGCAAAAGTGCCGTATTCGAAGTTCGATGCTCATTGGAGCGCTGGACGATGAACAATAGTGGTTTTCGTCGCTTATGACTAGGATTCGACAAGTTTGGCACATAGTACAGCTTAGTTGGCTACTCTCGTCGCGTCCTTGTATTATAGTCTGTCACATCAAAACCTCAATTCCCGACGGAAACCAATACGTCTGTTCAAATCAGCGCCAACCGTAGAATAGCCATAGCAAATACAAACCATTACTGCGATATTTACCAAATGCTGCGTAGGTGTGCTTTCCAATATTCTCCGCTTTACGCTATGGAGTTCTTGAATTTTATATTTAGCCGAAGGAGAATTGAGCAGAGCCGTAGGAGTCTGAATACTTAGTCCTCTTAGGAGTTTATGTGTTTGACCTTTAACTGGCCCTGTCCGTCGAAGACCATTAGTGTGCAGAACGCCTTTAATGCTAAACACTTTCTCCAATTTGTGGTTCGACCCATTGAACAAGAACGTTGCATTTGCTTCGCGCCTGGTATACAGGGTACAGCATCGTTGTGTGAAACACAACAGGGCGAGAAGGGGGGGCGGTCGCATGTGTGGGTTTGAGAGAAGTTTGTTGCACTTGTTTAAAAATATACCCCATCCCACCCCGGTCGCAGCAAAAATGCTCTGGGTAAAAAGTATTCGCGGTTGGGGAAAACCTTAAGGAATCTGGAGATATTTTTCGCTCACGTTGGCTTGCTCCCCACCCGCTCGACGGAACATCACGACGGGTAAAACTGTGAAAATGTGGGTAATTGTAGGTAGGAGTTAAGGGAGGGGTAGTTCGCACCGATGCGCCTCTTTCAGGCGGGAGATAGGGCCGGGGCAAAGACTCTCCTTCTAAGGGGAGGAGTCGTACACACCAGCATTTCATATATCACGATGCTGTACCCTTGCTGGTAACACCCTGGTAACAGGGCACGTCCGAGCGGCAAAGCTGGTCCGTTACGCAAGCGCCGGGATACTTCGCTTCAAGCAGCAGATGCGGTATTCGTGTTCATGTGGTCAGGGTGAGAGCGGCCGAGTTTGTGTGAGAAACATTCTTCCACGAGAATCCGGGCTGAAAATTTCTGTGTAAGTGAGAGGCCGTAAGAAAAGGTAGAGGAGGCATCAGCTCTTCTTATTCTTGAAATGTGTTGTCTCCAACTGGGGACATTTGACTCTTACCACAAAGATGGACAATCTGGGCAAAACATTGCACGCCAGCTAAAGCTGGCACCTTGACTTTACATCTCTGTGGGCTAGTGGAATTGCCTGTACACCATCGAGCCAGGCTTTTGTCCTCTCATTGTCGGCATAGTGATATTCGCGGAGTGGTGCGGTTCGGTAAGGAGAAGGTGCATTTTGCACTTTCTCCTGCTCGTTTTGCTGGTTCATGTTGACAAGCCCGCTTTGCTTAAACCTGTGAACTCTTGGGGAAGTACGAAACGTAGAAGGTCGTGAGTTATAACAATTCACAGTCTGCATACGAGTGGCTCGTGTAAGCTTTGATGAGAAGCATTAGGTGCCCTACCAAACCGAACAGCGACAACTCCTTTTTTGCGATGGCTTGTGAGGATTAAAGCTCGGACTTCTTGCGCACGAATGATAAGTGTTATCGATCATACAAAAGTAGCCAAGGCAACAACGATTCGGGGAAAAAGTTGGATGTAGGGCGCATCTTTCGGGGCAGATCGTCTTTCTATTCACTATAAGAGATAGAAGCATTGGTAGAAAAAGGTCATTTGTTCAACAATTCACCAATTTAATTTATCAAATCCAATTTTTATAAACTTTTGCTCAGTCCATTTGAATGCGCCACGCAGTCGGCTCGCACAAAAGTCACATAAGCTGTAAAAAAATACATACTTGCCATGAATGTTTCGCAATTCTCACTACACTTATAATACTTTTCACATATAACAAATTCGAAGGAATGAAAAAAGAAGGATGAAGGGTAACTAAGTTGGAACAAAATCGATCATACGCGCTGTCCCACTTCTGAATAAGGCCGTCAGTCACTGCTACTGTAAGTGCTCATAAACAAAGAATGCTTCAAGAAATGAAGATTACATAATTCTTCTTCATTGAGAAGTATTTGGGCTCGACCTCGTGTCAGGTTGTCGGAATTTTTGCAGTTAATTAGAAGATTTGATTAGTGGACACCAATCGTTTTTCTAGTCACTCTTCCGAATCTATCATTACGGACCAGGGCATCCAAGCTCTTATTTTATGAATTTTCTGCTGAAGGCCTCTTAGAAGCATCGCGTGTTTTCCTATGATGTGGATGTTTTTTTCAATAAGGAGTTGTGATTCTTTGGAGTTCCGAATAAAACAGTTGTTTTAACACATGACTTCCCACATTCATACCGTAGTGCCCTGTGGCTCGAGAGATGGCCAGACATGGCGTCGAACAAAACTTTTAACCGCATTAATGACCCCCCCCCCTTTGTCTAACTGCGCATGCTCTCACACCCAATATCCGCCTAGTAAGGCAGAGCGTAGCCATGGAATAAATTTCCAGGAAATCTGAACTTGCCGTGGAACATTGCGACTAACAACAAGGAAGCGAACCACCAATCGAAACGCGTCAGAGCAGGCCAAATGCAGGACCCATTTCAAAGTACCACCCGGATTTTTTTTTGTGAAGCCCCAGAAAATGGGGCGTCGTTCTTACGTCTGTGAAATAAGTTTTCGGTTTCTGATTTTTCTCTGTTTTTTTTTGTTTTTTTTTCATTTTACGTGGCAACGTTTTTCGTGCCCCCTCTCACCGAGAACTTGGAGAGATTAAAGGATAGGTAGGATGGAGGAAAGGGAGGGTGGGGGACAGTTGAGGACATTTTGAGAGGGTCATGCATATTTACATGCAAAATTTCTTAATGGCAGGACCTACTCTGAATACGGTAGCTTTTCCCAGTGACCAACAACCGCTCTCAAAGGGTGTTCGCTCGACTCTTCTCTGGAGGGGCCATTTTGCATATTCGCGTCATGTTATATTGCAGCCTGCGATGTTGAGGAGGGACGGAGCCCAGGAGTATTTGGGCCACCTCGAACATTTCCTTTTTTCACATGTGGTACCTTACCACCTTTTTTCAAAATTTTCGTCTCCTGTCTTACGTTGATTAGGCACCCAGTCCTCGTGCAATGATCTCCTCTTGCGTATAAGAAGTTGATTCGAAGTTGTTTGACTTTTTTCTCCTCATCGACACAAATTGAGCTTCCCATGAATTCTTGTTCATTGGATTCTTCGCGAATCGTAATTCCTCCCATTTTCTCGTTCGCGTTGCGATTCCAATTGAAAACTCGTGCGAACATTTTCTCACTTTTCAGCTCGTGAACATTCATCTTTCAGATGACCGACGAACCGGTCAGAACACTGAAATGTGTTCTAGTGGGTGATGCTGCTGTGGGAAAGACGTCGTTGATTGTTTCTTACACTACCAACGGGTACCCACAGCACTATGTCCCAACAGCGTTCGACAATTATTCAGGTAAATGTTTATTCGACGTGGAGTGTAACCCTGCTGGTTTTCAAAGAAACTGGTCATTATCCAGTTTTCCGGATGCCTTTGAAAAAACTTTAAACTGTAAAAAAGAATGAAATGGTGACCATAACACATCAAATGGACTTCTTCGCCCCAACGCTAGTCCCGCGCCGTCACAGGGCTCGCTGGGAAAAAACTGATTCTATTGCGACTGGTCATGCTTGTTGTGACGGGTTTCTCCATCAGCCGGCCTGTCAACCTGGGCCTGACGCTGGTATCGTCCCCATTTTTGCAATTTTTGCAAGGCATGGTTTGTGCCTCGGCAGTGATCGAATCCCTGGCTTAGAGTGCGAACATTCTACACTCTCAACCACTCGGCCATCCCTGCCTATATAACATACAATACATCGACGGGAAGTGCCTCTTGTGTCATGGTCCTAGACCCCAATTTTCGCGCCTCTTTTGCACAGAATGACATACAGATAGAGTTTAATAGCCGACTGCCCCAATGATTAATTCCCTAAGCTCACGGACATTGTGGAATTGTGCATTACTCTCATGGATCATACGCACCATGAAGCCCCTCACATCCTCGATTGGGTTTTAGTCGGGGCTACTCGCTGGCCAGGGCGAAAGAGTGGTTTGGAAATCATTTCTTTTTCCATACGGAGCGCAGTTTCAGACGTTCCATTCATGCGATGGCAGCCCAGACCATGAGACCACATCCACTGAAGTTCCGCCCGGAAAAATGAAACTTGTCTTCCCTCAGGTCGTGCCAGCGGAATCGGTTTTCGTCGCAGTTGAATTTTTTCTCATCAGAAAACACGACCGCGAGAAAAAGAAACTGAAAAAACACTACAGACAAGCAGTTAGGGCACTGCAGCCAAAAGCCAACATCACCTCTATTGTGGTCTCGGCAAATCTATCGAGCAGCCATCACGTTTTCGCGATGTTTATGTTAGAAACAGTAACGCTAATCTCAATATTCCTTCCTAGTGGGTGAACATAGAGTTTTTTCAACAGAGACGCCTAACAGTGTCCTCCGAGACATTAACCTGCAAAGATGACTTGTTTCCCGCGACACGACACTGCAGAGTTGGATGCTTTCCTAAGGATACGTCGGTTATTCCGGATCGGGGGCAAAGGCAGGATGTTAAGAGCTCTCGGCAACTCAATAGGCTGTAGGTCCCTCGGAAAAAATTGTTGATAGCATGACGAGTGTGGCCCGCATCTCGCTCATTTAAAGATTTACCAGTTTTTGAGTCTTTCTTTTGCGATATTATTGTCTTGTCTCGAGGTCCCTTCAATGAAGTTCACTTCGCATATGACCTAGCGTATGAGGCGAGAAGTATGATTGATGAGAAAGTTCAACTGAACACAAAATGAGATGCCAGCCGGAACATGCGGTGGAACTATATTTTTGCCCTGCGTTGTCAGAAACGACCAATTTTTGTGAAAAAATTGGAAGCGCAAAAAAATTGGTTTTTTTTTAAGCTAAGAGTTCGTGGCTGTCATGGAAATTGGTATTAGTAATCACCACATTTTCTGTATGGGGGCATTTTTGAAAAACGTCGTGTAAGACTGGATTTTGTGAGATTCATGGGTGGAACTATGATTATGCTTCGCAGTGTATATTTCGTTATGAACTCGTTTCCTTTCAGTTGTTGTGCGTGTCGATTAAGCAAAACCCATTCCAGGCTTTCAAATTATCCAGCCCCACACCGTGACACTGCAGGACAGGTACGCAGTTCTTTCCTACTCTTTGGTTTATTTGATTTAAATCATGAAAATTCTTTTTCACGGAATAGTTCACTATGGCGTCACATTACTGAAACCTACAAGTTGTGGCATTCATTAGAGCTAACACTTTTAGGTGTTTAACGTTCGTTTACCATTGTTTGTCGGTGTTTGCTGTTTCTTAGGATTGCATCTCATGTAATCAATGGAGGAATTCCTGAGATCTGCTGTTCTACTGGAAAACTGGTTTTTCTAGAAGGATTAAAAAGCCTTAAATTCAGCAGCACCCAAGTTAAAATACTAACGTGTAGCGGAAGAAGACAGCAGTGTGGCGCAGTGCACTGTCCTCTCGACTATTTTGGGATGCGAACCCGCTCAAGCTAAGCAATCCTAACGAGTCATTTGATCCCGGGTTCAAATCTCAGGTCGACACCCGCCCAGGCCAACCAAGCCTTCTACCCCCGGGGACGGTAAATTGGTACCAGATTCGTCTGGGAGGATAAAACACTGACTTGTACATCGGCTGGCCCCCGCAAGTCATTGTATAGGCCACATCGCATTCAATAAGCCACTACGATTCTGAATGGAAGTAGAATGCGTGCCGCATCCCACAAAGGGATTGATCAACGGCGAAGACTTTATCCTTTTTTATCCGAGTTTGCGTTTCAATTGTATTCGAAAGCGCAATTACAAGCTTGGCAAAGTGCCAGGAGCGCTGCGCGCGACACGCGCCGCGCGGACGGCGGTCAGTATAAACGGGATCCGGGATATTGCAGCGGCGTTCAGCATGTCTGCGCCGCAAGTTGCATTTGGGCGGAGCATGGAGGAATTAGCCTATCACCGCACGTTCGGGGGCTCGTTAGCCCTGGACATGCCCAGGAGGCACGAGCGAGTGTACGTTGTGTCTTTAATAGGCAGCGCCAC